TCTTTACCTTTATCTTCCTTTCCTTTACCTCCTTCCCCCTTCCCCCTTCTCAGATTCTCCCTTCCCTTCTGCTTCTTTCCCCCTGCCTTCCTCCTTCCCCCTTTCCCCACCCTTTCTCCTTTCCCTTCCCTTCTTTTCCTCTTCTTTATGTGAAGTGGCTCGGGCCTGGAAGACCAGGGCCTTCCCCTTCCCTTTCCACCTTTCCTTCCTTCTCTTTACCTTTACTTTCCTTTCCTTTACCTCCTTCCCCCTTCTTAGATTCTCCCTTCCCTTCTGCTTCTTTCCCCCTGCCTTCCTCCTTCCCCCTTTCCCCACCCTTTCTCCTTTCCCTTCCCTTCCCTTCTCTTCTTCTTCTTTGCCCTTTTTGCATCTTCTATTTGAAGTGGCTCGGGGTTTGGCCTCTCTCGGTTTTCACCAACGTTGGCACAATATTTACCTTCTCTTTACCCTAGCCTTCCTTCCCTTGGCCCTTTACCTCATTCCTCCTTCTCAGATCTTCCCTTCCATTTTCCCTTCTCTTTTGCCTTCTGTTCTGCCTTCCCTCCTCCTTCCCCTTCCCCTTCCCTTCCCACCTTTCCTTCCTTCTACCTTCTCTTTACCTTTACCTTCCTTTCCTGTACCTCCTTCCCCGTCCTGCCTTCCCCCTTCCCCACCCTTTCTCCTTTCCCTTCCCTTCTTTTCCTCTTCTTTGCAGTTTTTGCGTCTTCTATTTGAAGTGGCTCGGGGTTTGGTCAACCAACGTTGTGCCCAAAGTTGTGCCCGGAATTGTTTGTTCCACCTGGCCCTCTTCTATTTGAAACCCTCCCGGCGGCAAATTTCCAAGCCCTTCAAATAGAAGATTGGCACAAGCAATTTCTTCTATAATAAAACCATGTACTATACTGCTTATAAAAATGTTGTAAAGCCAAGTTATATATATATATAATGGTTGGAATCCCACCAAAAGAAGGACTCCATCCCCTTCACTCCAACTCATCCTTCAACGCTTGGCGCCCTTTCGCCTCCGGCGCCCAGTGCGTGAAGTGCCCCGTGAGCTCGTCCCGGCGCCACGCCAGGTCGTCCTCGTCCTCCACGGCCGCCGCGAGCGCCGCCACCTAGGCGGAGCCAGGTTCTGAAGGGGTGGTGCCGGAGTCTGTGCCGGTCTGTGTGTGCCGGTCTGTGTGCCGGCACCTGTGCCGCTGACCCGGCTTGAACGTTGAAAGAGTGAAGAAGAAGAGTCAACTCTTCGGCCGCAGGTCACGCGAATTGGCACCCCCTTCAAGCCAGTCACATGCCAATCGCCATCATCTCCCAAGGCTCCATGCGTCTCCGTCTCCACCTGGAAAAGGCCAAGTGCTCTGCAGTGAGCAGAAGAACTTCAGTTCTGGTTCCTTCGAACGCATGTCCAAAATGATTTCCACACGGAGTGGACATGGGAGCAATCGGACGCTACGAACGGGGCTCCTGGCCTTACTACTAGGAACAATGTTTGCTATTAGAAACAATAAATAGATAGAATTAGAATTAGAATTTACAGTGCCGTGCCCGGCCCCCCAGCTGGCCCGGCACCTCGCTCGCCTCGCACGGCGGAGCGGCCTCGCCCGTCCTTGGTACAAGGGGCATTGCGCCCCGCTTCGGAGAATGCGAAAGGAAGCACCGTCCGGGTCCAAGGGGGAACTATGTGGCAGACAGAGGGCTCAGTGACGTCCAAAAAAAGGGCTTAATGGATGTATACATATTGGATGTTGATCTGTCTCTTTTCGAGATGCAACCGCTGGGCGCGGAGAAGGCGAAGGATTTGACTGCTCTCTGACTCATGCTTTTTGAAACACAAAATAGCGAGGCAGAATGGTTGTCCCTCGTTGCCGACGCAGCTGCCATTCACAGAATGCTTACTGCCCTCGGCCAAAACTGAGTCGGGGTGTGCCTTTTTTGGCATTCAAGCAAGTGACAATAGAAACGGTTGAGTTCAACTGTCACTTCCTGCAGACGATTGGCACTCCCGAGATTGCTCTGGAAGATTCAGCAACCTACACAAAAGCTACGCAGCGGCAATCCTTGAATGCCGTGATTGATAAAAACTTGGCTTTGATTCAAGAGATGTACTGGAACTGATCACCTGGTAGCCACAAGGGAATGCTTCGGCCACGGAGAATGATCTCAAATAAATGGAGAGACCTTCTTGACCACACCTCGACCCTGAGTCCAATGGTAGAAGGTGGTGTAGCCAAGATGGAAGGGAAGCCAAGCGAATTGCAGGAACTTACCGAGCAACTTGTGGGCATCGATGGACTGCTTGGCCAACCTGTCATTCCTCTTGTCATCTTCAGCATTTCCAGTCTTGTCAGAGCCTGGAGCCCACTTCAAGAAGTATTCGTTGGCAATGCCGGACACGGGCAACAAGAGCGCAAGGACGTAGAAGGCACGAAGGCTCTGTGTCTCCAGCATTTGCACCATGGGATTTCCTGGGAAGCGGGGAGGAATTCCACTCTGCATGCGGAGGAAGAAGCGCGCAACCAGAGCAAAGAGCATCGCGAGGCCGGTCTGCTTGTGCCACCACAGCATCTGTTTCCTCGTCTGTCCTTCTGAGTAGGAGGCAGCCTGAGCTGTTCCAACGGCTCCGAAGATTCCCACGGCCATGATGAGATGCAAGTGTCGCAATGCACGGCTGTAGGTGAACTGTGACAAAGGCTTGGTGTTTTGCACGGTCTTGTAGAGATACCATGCCACCGCACCAATCGCAATATCTGTGGCCTTGTACTTCATGTATCGTCCCACCTCGGACGTCTCCTCACCAACCACTTGAGCAACTGTGGCCTCCGCTGACCAATCGGTGTTCTCTCCTGGCACCAATTGGCCAACCAACATGTCTCGGTCACGCTGCACCCGAGCCTTCTCCGAGTGCTCAAAGACCTCGAAGTCCTTGGTGGCGTCGGTGCCCGCCTTGGTCAGCAAAATGTCGTCACCTCCTGGATGGCTTCCTTAGGAATTGGCGGGCTCCAACCTTGAAAAGTAAAAAGGATTTTCCAGAAATCTCCTGGAAGATTTACCCACAGGGAAAAAACTAAAAACAAAAATTCACCTTAAAACTTATAAGCAAAACCAGGAATTCCGATCAAAGGCTTCAAGTTGTAGACGCGGTTGTGGATGATCATGTACGGCTCCTCTGCAGTGGTGTGCTTCGCCACCTCAGCACGAGTGAAGAACGGAAGCTCCTTGCCAGCGGAGACTTCCGCCAGCTTTGGAAAGCGAGACTCCTCCGAGAGGGTGGGCGCATCCTTGGCTCTCAGGAAGCTGGGGAAAAAGATGGAATATATATTCTCAGGTTTGGGGCTTCACTGAAAGGAAAAATGAAATCACCCTCAGCAAAACCAAGCATCTGTCTTACCTGGGACCTTCACTGCTGTCTTTGCCGCTTCAATGTCCTCCTTGGAGGGTCCCTCAAGTCTGCGCAACTCATCATTCAGCTGCTTCAATTGCTCGTAGACAGGCTCCCTTTGGGGCTCAGCGCGGACATCGCCCATCTTCCATTCACTTCGCATGAAGAAGTCCATCCACTGCTTGCTGGGGAAACGTCCCGGGATCTTGTCCCACATCGGAGTCGCATCTCTGCCAGCCCAAGCGAGAATGGAATTGCGCTGCTCTGGATGATGGATCAAGAAATCCGTGAGGTCGTAGACATTCTTGTTGATGGCAATCCAACAATCATGAGGCTTGTTGTGACGAGCCACCTCTGACAATGGAATGCCACCATTGGAGTTGGGGATGTCCAAAGGGATGTCATGAAGATGTGCATGGGCCTGGTCCGAGAGAATCGTTTCAATCTCTTTCTTCACGTCCAAGGCTCTGGTATAGTCCTCCGCATCCAAGGCGGCCCTCTTCTGTGTCTCCAAGCGTTGCAGCTTGATTTTCAGCTGAGGGTCCAAGTTGCTGTCTTGCAGGAGCCTTGGCAAACTGTCCGCCTTGTGACCATAGGCCGTTTCCCGCAACACGCGGTCGATCTCCTCGCGGACCTCCACGATGCGCGCCTCCCGCAAGGTATGCCAGAACTCATCGGACATCAAGTCCGCGTCCACGCCCAGGTTACCCAACTGACTCTCAGGGCGGAGATACGAATCCTTGCCATCCAATGTGCTCGAAAAAACCCAGCTGAATCGGAATTGTTTATAAAAATCGAAGAACCCCAGGAACCCGGGAGTTCCGGGAGGTTCCGGTAAAGTCACATCTGCAGAAACCACTCCTCCTCTGCCAAAAAAAAAGCAGAAACCACTCGCCCCCCCAAAAAAAATAGAAATAAAAAAACAAACCGGCCAGGACTCGATCTTCACCCCCTTGTGGATCTCGTTGAACAACTTCGAGGCGTCCTTCCCCGCCCAGGCCGCGATGCTGGTCGGGCCGCCGGGATGGCGATCCATGAACTCGGAGAGGTCGTAGACCTGGTCGATGTCGCCGGGATGGCGGCCCCGGAGAGGTCAGCGGAGAGGTTTTGGAGCACCCGGAAGATGAAAGAAGACCCCGGTCGATGGCAAGGTGAAGGGAAAGGACATCCGGTTCTGGGAGTTAGGTGCAGGATGGTGCAGGTGTTGTTTTTCGAAATACTTTGGTGGCCACGATGGCCCTGAACAGCCGAGTGCTGTTCTTCTATACAAGAGCCTCCAGTGCTTTTTTCTGGTTTCCCCAGACTTCCAAGACCATTAACAAAATGGGAACGACGGTAGTGTAAAGTCCTTGCATGGTTGATTCGGGATGACCAGCCTATTAATGGTTGGCCAGGAAGCCTAGGGTCGACTGTAGTTTTTCAGGTTCCGTCTCGGAACCCGGGCGGCACAGGCTTCTTCACAGACCGCATTGATCCATCCGCCCCAGCATTCAAGGGTTTGGAGGGTTGGTTTGGATTCTTGAGGGCGATTGCTTTAATAGAGACCGGATTTGTGGACCACCATGGATTTTTGGGTGTGTTTTACTCACCAAGACCTTCAGTTCGTGACCCCACCATGGAGTTTCTCGAGTTCTGACCTTTTTTGGGAGTTTCTCGGGTTGTGACAGACCTCAGCCACGAACTGATCTCAAGTTGGGTCATGAACGGCTCAGGTCCGGCTTGTCACCCACCTGGACCATCCTGTCGACCCTGCACCCCGGTCCGCTCCACATCCCCATCAAAGCGCTTCGCTGCTCTGAAGAGCACTGCTTAGACACCCCCAGTCTGGCGCTTCCCTTCCCGTCCGAACCGGGAGTTCGCTGGCGGAGTTCGCCCGAACCCACGGAGCTCGCCCCCCCGAACCCACCGAGGTCTCCGCTTCGCGGCGTAGGACCTGCCTTGCCGTTCAGCGCCACCCAGCAATCCTCGGGCAAACAGTGTCGGTTCACCTCGGAGAGCGGAATGTTCTTGGAGATGGCACCTGAAAACAGCTGGGCTGCGGTGAAAGTGAACACGGTGCGGCGAACACGGTGCGTGAGCTTATTAACTGTTTTCACATGGATATATGCGGTGGTTTGGTAAGAAATGGCTGAACTTCTGCGTTTTCCTCCGAGCTGTCCGGCTTAACATGGTGGAAAACCTACGAAACCTCGTGTGTTTCTGAGCGGTTTCGATTTGGAAATTCCTTCGTATGTTCGCCCGAGTCTGGCTCTGTCAGTCTGTCGAGTATGTGTCGGACCGAAGAGACGGCACCTGTTGGCTTGTGCGCCAGGTGGAATCCCTCTTGGTGGGCTGATGGATGCATATCGCTGGCCATGGACTAGCGGAACTGCGGGCTGACGGAACTCGGGACAAGGACGCGAAGCACCAATCGCAGAAAGCTGATCTTCTTGAGCCATCCATCAAAATCAGCATATGGTTCGTGCTTTATTGAAGAGAAACGCACCAGGACCATCCACGGCGGGGTGCGACAGGGTATGACCACCCCCAAGAAGACCCCCTTTTCGGGGCTAGCAGGACCCCCCGAAGCCCGGGGGGGTCCTGCTTGTGTTCTGTCAAGCTTCAATGGCTCGGCGGTGATCTCCTCGTGTTCTGGCCTCGGCGTCATCCGTTTTGTTCCAAAACATCAAATAACAACCTGGACCTTCAAGGGGTGTCCAATGGAGGTCCCTTAGTAGTGTAGGGGCTTCCATTGGTGACCCCTTAGAAGGTGCTGGAAGGTTTGTTTGCACACGCTGTCCCATATTCCAAAAAGTCCATTCCATGGATGTTCTGTGTGTGTGAAGCATCACCGTTACCAAGTGATGTGTTGATGTGTTTGTACTTCATTCCATGAATGACATGCATATAAAGACTATTAGTAACCCTCTAACCAACCGCACATCTAATTACGCGCGCAAACCTTGCAAACCACGCCAAGAAGCACTGCACCAAGAAGCACAGCCCACGCACCTTCCGCACCTTTACCACCACTCCACCGAGGAGCAAGTCCAAGCGCATGCGCTGCGCGGCCTCCTTGAGCTCCTCCAAATTGGCCGCCTCGAAGCCCTGCGATCCGCGCGATCAGCGCGAAAGAAGGGGAGAGGAAGTCCAGGTGCAGTCCATTCACCGGCGGTCAGGCGGTGGCACGGAAGATTTGGGGCGCGTAACAAGGCCATGCTGCAAACCTGCAGTTGCATTGGCCATCCTCTTTTCACCTTGACAAACTGCAAATGGATGCTTCCCCAGTCCCAGGCATTTCCTATGTAAAGGATCTCCGCTGCCACATTGGAACAACCATTCCCCTACAAGTCCATCTAACGTGCCTGGTGTTTTTCACCAAGACTCTGACGTCTCCCTCATGCTTCAGCATGTAGACTCTCGATTAATAACCCCCCCCAAAAAAAAAGATTGGAAATCCGCTGGCTTAAACTGGAAAGCCTCTTCATAATGTGAAGTTTAGGGTCCTCTAAGAGTCTACTCACTCCTCACCCCGCACCCAGTCGACCCCCTCGCTCGCTCCGGCTCCGGCACCTGCGTGAGCTCGTCGCGCCACAAGAAGCGCCGCTCGCCACCTCGGTCGGGCCGGGCCGGGCCAGGACCGTGGTGCGACGGTGAAGCGGACGAAGTCAAGGACCGTGGGAGAGAGACCTATGATGGTATATACTCCAAGGGACCTTCAAGGGCTGTCCAATCGGGATATACACCTATATATACCTATATATATATATATATATGCTACCCCCCCGTTGTACCTACTTTGAGCCCTTGTTGGCAATGTGGATTCCAGAAGATGGGTGCATTGCTTTGGGTTGGTGATGTGCAGGTTAACAGACGCTGGAAGCGTAGATGACTGGAGGGCGGGACTCTTCCAACAAGCTTTGGAGCACGGCAATCTCAACCTTCTGTTCTTTGATCTTGCTTTTGGCGTCTGCCAGTTCTTCTTGGCAATGGTGGAGAGCAGAGAAGATGCTTTCGAATTCCACTTTGGCCTTTGCAATCTGGTCGTCCTTGTACTTCATAGCCTTCTCGACTTCTTCGGTCGTCATACGCTGGTCTGAGCTAGAGTCAGAGTCAGAGTCAGAAGATGACTCAGAAGAAGAATCGTCAGCATCCTGCTGGCCATCCTCGATGGCCAAGGGTGCTGCATCCTCAATGGGCAATGGCTTGGACGGCTTTGATACAAGAGGCTTGGCGAGAAGCTTTCCTAGGCGGTCTTCCGCTTCCTGGCTCCAGCCGCCCTTGGCACCACGTGGTAGGAGTAGCATACGTTGTACGTTGCACGTTGCCCATGGCATTGGTGAGCATTTTCTTTGTCAGAGGCTGACGTGTCGGATGAATATAGATGGTGCCGGCATCGATCCTGGTCTGAACAGTCTCTGTAGTAGGCCTGGATATTCTGACTTTAGGTTCGGGCATGGCCTCTGGGAAGTTCAAAGTCAAGGTTGCATGGTTTCCCTGTTGTTGGACACGTCCGGCCACGGAAAAGGAGCCATGCCGCAAGGCAAGACGAGTTGAGGGGATACTCGGAATGCAAACTTTGAGGCTAAACATTATCCACCCAAATCATATTTATGAGACATGTGTTTTTCTTGCGGATCTCGCGACATTTACAATGACAAGGTCTGACGTTTTTTCAGAGGATCTTGGCACCAACAGGTCATAGGAAGTCCTAGGACTTAATAAGGGAGGTCCTAGGAGGTCCTAGGACCTGCCAAGAACCAAGAACCAAGAACCAAGATTGCAGCGAGACTCTTTGGACAATCTTGGTTCTTGATAACGGGAAGGCCCAGAACCAATAACCAAGAACCAAGATTATCCAAAGCTTGCTGCAATCTTGGTTCTTGGTTCTTGGCAGGTCGTAGGACCTCCTAGGACCTCCTAGGACCTCCCCAGACGTAGTGGTAGCATATCCTTATCTTACTGTAGTACTGTAGAACTATACATGCCAACCTAGAGGATGTGCGGGCCATGTTGTTTGCCAGAAGATGTGAACATGTCGAGATGACTTGTGCAAAACACTCGTGTATATATAATATATACAATGTATATGTAATGTTTCTCTAAATTAGTGATAAAAGCATGCAAATACAAGTAAAGGTGCAAAAAGGGTTGGTACAGGAGGGGGGCCCACCATATATATACCTTGTGCCTCCAAACACGACAAAAACGTAGGGTTCATCCCAAAACACGAGGTTCTTGAAGGAAACACGAGGTTTCCCATTTTTGTGTTTTTTTCCGCCCATGCCATCTTCGAAGGCCGGGCCACAGGAACTTGAATTCAAACTCCAAAAGCCCAGGTTGATGATCAGAACGAAAAAAATCTCAACCAAAATGCAACTATTGTACCCCCCTAAAAACCGTGAAAAAAAGCACGGGTTGTCACGGCATAATCACGGGTTTGTCACGGGTTCGTCACGGGTTATCGGAGCTCTCACTTACGGACCCGAACTTTTCATGACGAGAGTGTTGAATGCTGTTAACATATTGTCAAACATGTTTTGACCACGGAAAATTCGAAAAGTCGGCGGGAGAAAATGAATATGGAGCACCTGCACACATGGCTATCGAGGGTTTTGGGGCAAAACACGAGGATTTGGCTAAAAACCCGAGGTTTTCCCTTATGTCACGGCCCGTCACGGCTAAACCCGAGGTTTGTTTTCAAACCCGACAAATTTGTAGGGTTCAGATGCTCAGGGTATATATAACTGAACCTTCAAGGGGATTCCATTGGTGACCCCCTTGAAGGTGCTGGTATAGAATCCTATAGATCGTGTACTTACTATATATATAGGACATGCCTGTTCTTTCGTCAAACCAAGCAAGTTCGGCAAACATGTTGCATGGTTGGGAGATCTAGGTTTGTGGCATGAGGGTTTCGACAGAAACCTATTGGATCCTATCGGATAAGTCGAAGGCCACAAATCTCTGCGAAATGCAAAGAGCAAAAGAAGAAATCGGAAGATCCATCATCTGAGCATGAAGGAATTGTTGCGGCTATTTCAAGGGGTCAAAAAGACCACCATCGGATACTGGGTATGCCGGGTTCCCACGTGGACACTGCAACTGTGTTCTTGGACACCCGCGTTGGTGGGAACAAGCCAGTTTCGGCGCGTAAAGGGCACACCGTGCGTAGGTGCGAAGGCAGTTCTTTTGAACCCCCGGCCGGCCCCAAAACGAGCGGCTGTCATAATAGGTATCAAGCCATTCGCAGTACCAGAGTGCAATCGCCTGGACGTCACCGAGGAATTCGGGTTGGACACCCCCCCCCCGCTTTAGCTCGGGCGGAAGAGGACCATCCGGCCGCGCTGCGGAACCTGGGTGGGTGGTGACATAAGGGGCATTTTTGAGTGGTGTGGATGATCGACGCCACGAGGCACCGCCGGTCACTTTAGACCTCCTTTTATTCGGGAAGCGCACGACAGTCGTGGAGGCGTGGCACCGAACTGCAACGACCTCCGATCGCACCTGCTCGGTCCAACGACTTCCTCGAGTCCCCCGAACCCCCAAGCGAGTCGGTCGAATTGGGCGAGGGTCGCAAGCAGCGGCGAGGCCGGAGGTCTCGTCGTCCCTTCGTCTTTGGAGGTCCCGTGAGTTCGGGAGTCCCTCGCTAAAGTCCCTCATCTTCCCCAGTCCCAGCCATTTCCTATGTAAAGGAGTTCAAGCAAGCCATATTGGAACAACCATGTGTTTCTGGTTGTTTGGCTTCCCAGGTCCATATCAAGTTGGTCTAAGAGATATTCAAAAAATGGAGATGCGAGGCTGTAAGAGTTACGAGGCTTCAACATACACTGATCAGAGATGATCATCCAACATACTACGTTCTCTCTTTATTCGAACCCCCCGATCCATCCCACCCATCCCATCCCCGGTGTCCCAACCCGCTGGTACTTCCACCATGGCAAGTCTTCCACGCGCGAAGACACAGACGAGGCGTCTCCCGCGACCTCGGTCGCACCGCGAAAGGCGTCTCCCGCGACCGGTGCCGAGTGCCCCAACGGATCGGTCCAAAGATGTTGAGGGTGTTGGAACGGATGTGGATGAATGGTATAGTTCTAATTGTGTTCAGAGGAAAGCAAGTTATGCGGAATCCCCCCCCCAAAAAAGACGGTGGGATCCATACTACCCCATCCTTTTTGTTGGACTTGGAAGGCAATAGACATTGTGGGGGGTTTGCACCATCGAAGCTCGAAAGCACGGCTCAAATGAAGAAAGTCTTGGACCTTCAGGCACCAAGAGCGGGACGGTGCCAACCTCTAGGACCTCCATCACCGATCGAACGGACTGTGCAAGCCTCTAAGGCTCTAAGGGTCGGCTGCCTCCACAGCCGCAAACGCCACAGAACGGAAGACAAAGCCCCGAGGCAGTTCGGGGTGGTGCCGCCGTCGTTCGAAGGGGGGCCCAAAAAGAGACCGCGGA